CCATTTGTTTACAGAGAGGTGTCTCTGTGAATGCTGTGTCTTATTGATGCACTCTGAGAAGAATGAATAATCTCCCCATTCTGTGCCCCAGGTGTTCTTCAAATCACTGTTTCCATGCTGTCTGTCCCTGCGTTGTTTGCCTGCCTTCTCTCCAGGAGCAGTATGGTGCCCTCCAGGCTCTATCCCAACCAAGCCTGCTGACTTTTAAAACTCCAGGCTTTAAGCCCCACTGATTGCAAGAACTCCTGAAATTCAGCCCCTCTTGTTTTCCAAGCCAATGGCTTTGGGGAAACTTTCTCCTTATGTGTTCCCTTGTGTGCTCCTCTCTCTCACCCTTCTTTATAATCATGGCTCCCTCCCCTCTGCAGCACCAGTGATCTGTTTCTCCCATGAAGCATGTCTCCACACTTCTACCTTGTTCAATATGGCCTCGTTTCTCCCTTTAGTTGTGGAGTTTGCTCTGTCAGTCTTCAGGTTGATTTCTGGATATTTAGGATGATCTGATAGTTATCTACTGTGTTCATGGGACCAGATGAGCCTAGGATCCTCCTACAGTGCCACCATCTTCCTCTGTCTGTGATTCTATTGAGAATTTTATCACGAATGTTAGATTTTGTTGAAAGCTTTCTCTACATCTATTGATATGATCATGTGATTTTTTTTTTTTTTTTTTGTCTGTTCATGTGATGGATCACATTAATTTATTTTCAAAGTTTGAACCAGCCTTTCGTACCTGGGATAAATCCCATTTTGTTATGGTGAATAATTCTTTTTATATATTCTTGGATTCAATTGCTATTATTTTGTGAGGATTTTTACATCTATGTTCATGAGAGATACTGGTCTGCAGTTTTCTTTTTTTTGTAATGTCTTGTCTGGTTTTGGTGTTAGGGTAATAATGACCTCAGAATGATTTAGGAAGTAATCCTTCTGCATTTATCTTCTGAAAGACATTATAGAGAATGGGAACAATTTCTTCCTCAATTGTTTGATAGAATTCACCAGTGAATCCATTTGGGCCTGGTGCTTTCTGTTTTTGAAGGTTATGAATTATTGACTCAATTTGATTTATACATTTATACCTATTCAGATTGTCTACTTCATCTTGTATGAGTTTTGGTATATTGTATCTTTCAAAGAATTATTCCATTTCGTCTAGTTATCAGATCTGTGGGCATAGTTGTTCATAGTATTATTTTATTATCTTTTAATATTTATGCAATATGTAGTGCTGTCCCCTCTTTCATTTCTGATATTAGTAATTTATGTCTTCTGTATTTTTTCTTAGTTAGCCTAGCTAGAGGGCTTATTTATATTATTGATATTTAAAAAATATCTTTTGGTTTTGTTGATTTTCTATATTGATTCCCTGTTTTCAATTTCATTGAGTTCTGCTCTCTTATTATTTTTCTTTTTCTGCTTCCTTTGGATTTAATTTGTTCTTTTTCTAGTTTCTTAAGGTGAAACTTAGATTTTTGGTTTCAGATCTTTCTTCTTTTCTAATATATACATTAATTGCTATAAATTTCTGTCTGAGCACTGATTTTGCTGCATCCCATAAATTTTTATAGTCTGTGTTTTCATTTTCATCTAGTTAAAATATTTTTAAATTTCTCTTGAAAGTTCTTCTTTGACCTATCTATTAGAAGTGTGTTGTTTAATCTTCATATATTTTGGGATTTTCTTTTTTTTTTTTTTAAAGATTTTATTTATTTATTCATGAGAGAGAGAGAGAGAGGCAGAGGGAGAAGCAGACTTCCCGCGGAGCAGGGAGCCCGATGCGGGACTCGATCCCAGGACTCTGGGATCATGACCTGAGCCGAAGGCAGACGCTTAACCATCTGAGCCACCCAGGCGCCCTATTTTGGGATTTTCTAATTACCTTTCTGTTAATCAATTTCTAGTTTAATACCTTTGTTATTTGAGAGTAGACATTGTATGATTTCTATTCTTTTAAGTGTTAGGGTATATTTTATGGCCCAGAATGTGGTCTATCTTGGTGAATGTTCCATGTGAGCTTGAATAGAAGGTAATATATTTTTTTAAGATTTTATTTATTTATTTATTTATTTGAGAGAGCGAGAATGAGAGAGAGAGAGAGCACATGAGAGGGGGGAGGGTCAGAGGGAGAAGCAGACTCCCCGCTGGGCAGGGAGCCCAATGTGGGACTCGATCCTGGGACTCCAGGATCATAACCTGAGCCGAAGACAGTCTCTTAACCAACTGAGCCACCTAGGCGCCCAGAAGGTAATTTTTTTTAATAATGCAAGTCCAGGAGTCCCTTGTGGAAAAGATTGACAAGTATCACTTTTTACCTGTCCTACAAGTGACGAACTATGATACATTTGTAGCAAATTATAACTTACTACTAATCTCAATAAGAGAAAAACATTAACCTCATTAAGAATTGGCCAGAATATTAAAAAAAATAATTCATACTATAAGAACTGCAGTAAGAACTAGGCAGAAGTAATCAACCTTATAATATTATAAAAATAATTATCAGTATAATTTGAAATATAAATGAGAACTTCCATTTTTACTACTCATATTGGCAAAGATATAGAAATTAGGTATTAACTATACCAGCTATAGTGTGGGGAAGAATATTCTCACACCCTCCTGGTGGGCAGGGTGAATTGGTAGGTACTGCCTCAATAGGGGTCAATTGAAAATTTCTTTCCAACTTTAAAATTCAGGTAGGACCACATCAAACTAAAAAGCTTCTGCATAGTAATGGAAACAGTTGATAAAATGAAAGGGCAATGTATGGAATGAGAAAAAATATTTGCAAACCATATATCTGATAAGCCATTAATATCCAAAATATATAAGGATTTCTATAACTCAACAGCAAAAAAACCCCAAATACGCTGATTTATAAATGGGAAAAGGACCTGAATAGACATTTTTCCAGGAAAGATATACTAATGGCCAGCTGGCATATAAAAGATGCTTAACCTCACTAATCACTAGGGGAAGTTGAAGATTGCAATGAGATATCATCTCACACCTGTTAGGATGGCTTTTACCAAAAAGATAACAGATAAGTGTTGGTGAGGAAGTGGAGAAAAAGGAACATTTGTACACTGTTGGTTGAAATATAAAGTGGTACAGCCACTATGGAATACAGTGTGGAGATTTCTCAAGAAATTAAAAATTGAACTACTATATGATTCAGCAGTCCTACCTCTGGATATATATCCTAAGAAATCAAAATCAGTATACTGAAGAGATATCTGCACTACCATGTTCATTTTCACTGCAACATCATTTACAATAGCCAAGTTATGGAAACAACCTAAGTGTCCACTCACCAGTGATGAGTGATGAATGGATAAAATAGATGTGAGATATCTTTATAGACATCTAAATAGATAGATAGATAGATAGATAGATAGATAGATAGATAGATAGATAGATAGGCAGACAGTGAAATATTATTCAGCCATGAGAAGGAAGGAAATCCTGCCATTTGCAAACACATGGATGGTGTCTAGAAGACATTATGCTAAGTGAAATTAGCCAGAGGAAAGCAAATACTGTAATGATCTCACTTATATGTGAGATTTAAAAAAAAAGTCCAATTCACCCAAACAGAATAAAGTGGAGGTTACTAAGGACTGGGCTGGAGGAGATAGGGATATGCTGGTCAAAGAGTACAGGCTGTGTTATGTACTTGAAATTTGCTGAAAGAGTAGACCTAGGGGCGTCTGGGTGGCTCAGTTGGTTAAGCATCTGCCTTTGGCTCAGGTCATGATCCCAGTGTCCTGGGATCAAGCCTTGCCTTGGGCTCCCTGCTCAGCAGGGAGTGTGCTTCTCCCTCTCCCTCTGCCCCTCCCCTCTGCTTGTGCTTTCTCTCTCTCTCTCTCTTTCTCTCAAGTAAATAAATAAAATCTTAAAAAAAAAAGTAGACCTTAAGGGTTCTCACCACACACACACACACACACACACACACACACGGTAACCATGTGAGGTGATGGCTGTGTTAATTAACCCAATTGTGGTAATCATTTCACAAAGTATACATGTGTCAAATCATCACGTTGTATACCTTAAACATATAGGATCCATTTGTCAATTATACCTCAATAAGCTGAAAAATCTGTTTTAAATAAAAGAATAATGTACTACATGTTGGCTAATTGAATTTAAATAAAATAAATAAATAAATAATAAAAGAATAAAAAACAACAAAAGAGAAAAGGTACATAGGAGATACATATTTGATTCTTTGCTTCTCTAGAAATGTATTACACAGCCATACATTTGTGTGAATTTTGGCTGGATAAATGACTCTAGTCAAGGGTTCATTCTCAGTATTGCAAAATTTGTTACATTTTTAATTTTGTTTTGTTTCTTCATTTCAGGGCACTGTTGAGCAGGGCAATGTGTTTCTATTTTCTGGTACCTTTCACATGACCTGCTTTCTGATTGTTGAAAATGTCAAGATCTTCTTTATATTCTTATTATTCTAAAATTTTATCCTCTGATACACTTCCAAGAGTTTACCAATTATTTATAACTTGATTTTTCAGCGGGGGAAGGGAAGCATAAGTGTACTTCTCTTTACTGAGAATATACTATATACCAGTTAGCTGTTTAATTGGATATTCCTCTTAATTAGATTTAGTATGTTCTTAAACGAGAATGGATCTTGGAATTCCCTCATTGTGCACAGGAGTTTTTATCTGCAGGAGTTGGGTTGTGTGAGGCCTGCTCATTGATTAACACTAACTCTAGTTTTCACCCACATCACGGGTATTGAGCCCAACCTGTTTGTGATCCATTTCTCTCCTTTCCTGTAAAACTCTCCTTTACTTCTTCTTTTATGTTTCTCATCTCTCCTTCTACCTTGAAGTCATTTATTTTCATTACACGAGTATAACTCAGGATTTTTGTTTCAGGGATTTGTGCTATTCAGGGATGTGTCTATAGACTTTTCTCAGGAAGAGTGGGAATGCCTGGACTCAACTCAAAGGAATTTGTACAAATATGTAATGTTGGAGAATTATAGCAACCTGGTCTCAGTCGGTAAGTATAACTTTCTCCAAAAACTCTAGAGCCCTTTGGAATATTTGCTTCTCCTGAGAAGATTTTCTCAACTCCTTTCATATATCCTATGCGTTTCTTCTCCCTATTCCTAAAGACATGCTTGAGCTTTGTAGAGTTGGGACTGTGTAGCTTCATTGGGCCTAAGGCCAAAACTCCACCCTCTCTCCTTTTTTGTGGCCCTGCCAATTTATTTGCTGATCATAGAATAGGATTTGTGTCCTGGGACACCTACGACATAAAAAGTCTCCTTTCTTCTCTTATGAGTAGGTCTTTGCATTCCCAAGCCAGATGTGATCTCTTTATTGGAGCAAGGGAAGGAGCCTTGGAGTGTTTTTGACAGTGAGCTGACAAGAGGCCTGTACCTAGGTAAGTGATTGATGATTATACAAAGGAAGAGGAATGTAGGATATAAACCAGCTGCTCAGTAAGGAGATCACATCTTTGAGATGTTTGGAGGAATCTCCCCTCAAAGGCCTACAACTATTAAGAAAAGTAAACTCATCATGAACTTCCAAATGCCCACACCTTCACCTTCAACCTTTTTCATGTATGCATGAGTCTTTAATGACCTTCTTGTTTTCTGGCACAAAAATATGTTTCAGTCTCATCTTGTATTTTTCTTTCCCCAACTTGGAATTAGCCAGCTCATTAAGAAGCCTTATTTTCTCGGGGCGCCTGGGTGGCTCAGTCGTTAAGCGTCTGCCTTCGGCTCAGGTCATGATCCCAGGGTCCTGGGATCGAGCCCCGCATCAGGCTCCCTGCTCTGCGGGAGGCCTGCTTCTCCCTCTCCCACTCTGCCTGCTTGTGTTCCCTCTCTCACTGTGTCTCTCTCTGTCAAATAAATAAATAAAATCTTTAAAAAAAATAAAAAAAAAAAGAAGCCTTATTTTCTCTTAATAGGGAATGGTGTTCCTTGACCAATATCAGTGTTCAGTGCACTCATTGCTACTGGATTTTCATTGCTTTTATATCTATTAAGTACAAAGAGACAGGGAACATATATTTTATAAGTGAATCATACTAATAACTGTAACTGAAGTCCAAAAGACAAGATTCTGTCTCACTTTTCTACATCTCAGTTTTGTAACTTTTTCTTGAACAGTGGAAAACCCTATTTCCCACAACATGAGTATATTTGTTCAAGCCTTCTGTTCCAAATGCCACAGAATACTTTCAAAATTAGAATACCAGCACAACTACTGACTGAAAAACCTACCTGAAGTCATGTTCAAGATTTATTACAGTTTCCTTTTCCTTTTTCCCTTAGAATAGGTTACACCAAGGATTTCCAGAGTACAGTTCGTAAAGTTGCTAGATTAATTCTTTTTTGTGCATTTTCAACTTAATATACCTATCTTTTTTTAAAGTCATATTAAGTATTATGACCTATTTTTTTAAAGATTTTATTTTATTTATTTGACAGAGAGATAGAGAGAGAGCACAAGTAGGCAAAGTGGCAGGCAGAGGGAGAAGGGGAAGCAGGCTCTCAGCTGAGCAGGGAGCCCAATGTGGGGTTAGATCCCAGGACCCTGGGATCATGACCTGAGCCTAAGCTAGCTTGCTTAACCAACTGAGCCACCCAGGTGCCCTTAATACACCATTTATCTTAACTGTTAAGTTTAGATTATTTTTAGTTTAGAATTGGAATATATAAAACATTTATATGCTTTAAAAGTCAATATAAAAATATACTTAGAGAAGTTATGTTTGCAACCCTATCTGCTTCATTCATTGCCATCCTCACTCTAGGTATTTGGTGGTAGGGGGAGGGGGTTGGTTGAGGTAGTCTGATTAATCCTTTCTGCCTTTATTTTTTCAGAAATAGAGCATGTTCACATTTATATTCCCAATTCTCCTTCCCTCTTGTACATGGGATAGTATTCTCTCTGCACTCTTTTTTTTTTTTTTTTAAAGATTTTATTTATTTATTTGA